AAAAAAAAAAAAACACAAAACAAAACAAACGAAACACTATTTTCCTACCTAGAGGGAGAATTATGTGAGGACCAACAGGCCGAGATCGATCCTGACTAGGATCCGCTGTTTTTGTGGGCCGGGGTAAGGCCTAGGCATGCCGAGACCTCCCGGGCTCTGCCCACATTAGAGTTGCACCCTGCCTGCTCTCCTGGGGTCCAGCTTGATCTGTGTTGCCTGAAGCCACCTCTGCAGCCTCTCTGCTTCTCTCTGGCCCTCATTGATCCTGACCTTACAAATTCTCCATTTTTTCTTTCCTGTTTAAAAAAATCCTGTCAACCCTCAAGGCGTCTTTGGCCTCCCAAAAGCCCTGAGAGGGAGGCAGTGATGGAATTCTTCCCATTTTCATAGATGCAAACCAAGGCCCACAGTAGGTTCGAAAAGCAGCCAGGCTGGTAGAGGGGAGGAAGGGTGGTGCTTGAATTCGGCTCTTCCGAGCCCCTCCTCCCAGGCTGGAGGCCGAGGGGTCACAGACAGACGCCGTAGAATGGGCACGGGGGCTTCGACAAGCATGCCAGAAGGCCACCCGGAGCGCTGGACCTGCGCGGGGAGATCGGCGGCCAGGGCCTGCGCTTCCCGCGACCCGCCGGCAGCAGGCGCTGTGGCAACGGCGCCCTCCGTCCAGGAGCATTAAGTTAAGAATAGCTCACACTAATATCCCTGGCTGTGTGGAAACAGCGTTTTATTAAATGCTTCACACAGATTTGGTATAATAAAGATGAATATATTATATCCTTTGCCTCCCCCAGAGTGAGACAATAATGAGAGGAGGAAAAAAAACAATAAAGTGAAACATAAATACAATGTAATGGGACTTGTAGCGAGGGACCCGTGGCCTGTCTGGGCCGCCACCTGTGACCCCGTGGCTGGGACTGGGGACTGGGTCACTGGGAGCCGGACTCCAGCCCCTCCTTGCCCAACCAGAGGGTCCCAGGCCCTGGCTTCCACTCTGCTGCCCTCCAGCCAGCCCCCGACGCTCTGCAGCTAGGAGGACGCGACCTCACAGAGAGACCCCTGGAGAGGGAGAGAGCGGGGACTGGCTAGGGCTGCCGTCGGTCCCGGGTCGGGGGGTGCGCCCTTCTCCCCGAGCCCCTTCTCCCCCTGGGTCCAGGATTGAGGCTGGGGACTGTGCCCCGGGCCCCACAGGACAGACTCATGAGGAAAAACAGATCCAAGATCAATGGCTGCTCCCTTGGCCGGGTGAAGGCTGCCCGCGCCTCCTCGGCCCAGGGGGTCTCCCGTAGCATGCAGGAAGTTCCTCCTTGGGTCTTACCTCTATCCTTCTCCGAGCACTGCCAAAATCGTTTACCTGAAAATAAGAATTCCAAAGCTTTCGTAGGACAGAAAGAAAGGAACACCTGGAGATTCAGACCAACTCCTCTCTGCCTACGTCACTCCAGGCCCTGCGAGGGCTCGATTCACCCATCCAATGTCATACTGTGTGGTTTAAACACTAGAGCCGCTCCAAACGCGATGTGTGTTCAAATCCCACCTTTGGTGCTGGCCAGGGCATCGCGACCTTAACCTCAGTCTCTTCTTTGGCAAAATGGAGACGTGGTGAGGATTGGAGGGAAGGGTTCTAACGCCTGGCACCCCATCGGCTGTAAAAAAGAAAAATAAAAAGCAGCTATGAGCTGCTTCCAAAATATTCGTTAAAACAAATGGCCATTTCAGATCTAGAATTCTCGAGAACCTAACTTCCTCCTTAGGCCTTAACACAGGCGACTCCCTTTCTCAAACGAATGAAAAGGTTTAGTCCCCCAACACCTTCTCTATATTTCCTGCCTTTTACCACCATCGAGGCTTAGAGAGGTGGAAAGACTTACCCAGGATCACACAGCCAGCTGGTAGCAGAGCCATCTGAGGCTGGGGAATCGCCAGCCACCCTCACCTGTCTCTGCGAAGACACCCGAGCTGCCCTACTGCCGCCTCCCAGAAGCCCCTCGAGACTCAGAGTCCGGGCTAAGGCCACGAGGGTGGCAAAGTTAGTCCAGGACTCCCTAGGGGACAGGGCTGCGGTGGGTGGCACCTCACCAAACGAAAAGAAACGAATGAGAAAGAAATACCTAGAGGCGGAGGGAAGCGGAAAAGAGAAAGAGGAAGAGGAGGAAGATGGGTGCGGGGAGGGCTGGTGGCCTCCATGGAGGCTTGGGATCTGGCTTTGCGGAATCCCTGTGAAGATACCTTTCCAGGCCTGGTGCCTTTCCGGGCCTGGTGAGTGCGGCCCCCCGCAGGGCTAGCGGAGCCAGGGCAGAGGTCTTGCCCCGAGGCTCAGTGCTGAGGTGTAGGGAGGCTGCGTGGGGACAGGAGCGGCAGCGAAGGAAGGGAGTCGACCTAATTAATGGAAGTGAAGGGGCTGGAGAGGAACTGGAGGGATTGAGCGTTGGTGGGTGTGAGAATTGAATGCAATTCCTCAGGATCGGGAAACCAGGGATTGTGGGAATTAGAAAGAGCCAAAGGGGCTGGGTTCCGCTCAAACAAAATTAGGCTTCAGGCACTATGGACTGTACCTAGAGGGCAGCGAGGAGACAGGGGAGTCTGGTGCGGCGAGAATTGCATCCACAGGCCCAAGAAAGACGGGGAGAGGCTCAAGTACGTGGGAGCTCAGAGAGGGCGGAGGGCCCTGCAGCTTCCCTGGTGCCTCACTTCAGGGCAAGGAAAATCCCGGCCAGGACGAGGCAGCTCTGAGGGATCCCGGCTCTGAGCTCAGATCCAAGCCTGAGCCTGGCGTCTTCGCTGTGCTTGGAGCCACGCCGCCTACGTTCCCTGTGCGGCTGGGCACTGCAGATGCTGGGTTTTCCGCAGGTCAGACGTCCGCGTCCTTTATTCTGATTCCGTCTCACCGCCTGTCTTTTCTTGCCCGAGGTCTTGGGACACAGGAGCGGCTTAGCTGGGGTAGACTGCCCAGCAGGCGGCCCCCTGATTCTCGGGGGCCCGAGGGAATTGGGAACGGGGAGCCTCTCCCACTCGACCTGGGTAGAATCCAGGATACTGTTGGGCAGGGGATCTTCTACACAACTCCCTCTTCAAGGGCCTTGAAGAGTGGCCTACTCCCCTCCGCGAGGTCTGGGACGCCGTGCAGAGGCGGCGCTAATGCAACGGGCCCCCGCGCGACTGCTGAATTATTCACGTGCAGTTTATTTATTATGAGAAACCTGACTCAGGCCTTTCCTATGTCCGTTTACCGGGCGGGCGGCTCCTTGGTCTTCTTGTCTGTCCCAACTCGGCCTTCCGCCTTTCCACCTGGCCTAGCCCAGGACCCATGCCTGGCCTGCGCCAGGCGCCCCGCCACAGCAGTGAGACAGACCTCTGTGAAAGGGAGGGAGCCGACTACCATTTATGGTTTTTCCTCGGACTGCGATGTTTCTGGGCCGCCTGGGTTAGTAAGATAGAGGGTCAGCTCTTGGAGTTTCTGGTGATGGCAAGGAGAAGGCAACCCCAATTGTAGGCTCAGGAAAGCAGCCTCTCTCATCCCATTCCCACCCCTCACCCCACCCCACCCCACCCCATAAATAAATAAATAAATAGCCATCCCTGGAGCCCAGCAGCCCCCGGCTCCAGGCTGCAGACCTCCTGGGGCAAAACAAGGGACTAAGGGTTTCATCCTTACCCAGCAGCATACCGCCAGGACAACAGAGGGAGGAGATACGGGGGACTCTGGATCCTCTCTCAGGGTGGCATCTTTGGCCTTGCACTTGGTAGTTCCCTTTGCCTCCAAGGTGGTCCCTCCTTCTGCACCTATGCACATGCTCCTGGTTTTACAAAGTTCAATTCAAATGCCACCTGCATTGGGAACAGAACCAGAGTCTTCCCCACCCCACTCCCACACACTTACTTAGGTTCCTTTATCCTCTTCATAGACCTCTGGGCTACTGGGGTGGTGGGTGGGTGTCTGTTTCCTGCCATCCTGGCTGCCCGTCACCTCCCATCTTCTGTCCATTCTTCCTCTCTGCTTCTGGACGCAATGAATGTTGGGGGTTCAATCCTATTTTCTTTTCTTTCTTTCTTTCGTTTTTTTTTTTTTTTTTTTTTTTTTTTTTTTTTTTTTTCTTTTTTTTTTTTTTTTTTTTTGAGACAGAATCTCGCTCTGTCACCCAGGCTAGAGTATAGTGGTGCGATCTTGACTCACTGCAACCTCCAACTCCCGGGTTCAAGTGATTCTCCTGTCTCAACCTCTGAGTAGCTGGGACTACAGGTGCGCACCATAACACCCAGCTAATTTTTGTATTTTTAGTGGAGATGGGGTTTTGCCTTGTTGGCCAGGCTATTCTCAAGCTGCCGACCTCAAGTGATCCATTTGCCTCGGCCT